GGTCTTGGATATTAAAGGGATAAAAAAAAATGCTTAATCAGTTTCTAAAAGCTTGTCCCTGGCTTCTTTGCAAATGGCCACCTCAACTTTTTGTTTTCACTTGGATTTTCAAAAGAATGATTATCTTAATTCTACTTTTTGCACCTCAGATTGATTCTCCATTTTAAAGTTCAGGTAGGTGCTGATAATGATTTCCCTTTCAAGCCAGAACTCCAGGTGTGATATTTAAATTTCTCTTGACTAATGATCTCATCAGAGTTTGTTTTCTCAATGGCCTGCGGGGTGGCTTAGGGCAATACCCACTGGCATCCACGGAAACACTGGCCTTTTCGAATGATCAATAAGGCGTTGTTATTTTCAGACCTATTGTGTGGTTTGGTTAGACAGACACTGCCTGGAAGTCTAGAAACTTGGATTCTGATATCCTAGACTGATTTAATGCATTAAGCTTTTCAAAAGTCCTTTCCACATTGACTTACTTGAGCTTTCTCAACCTATTGAGAATCTTAGAGGAGAGGTGCAGTTTTCATTTTGTAGAGGGTAGAAACTCAGATGTCAGGCTTTGACAAAAGGAAATAAATCAAGGAGGAGTTAGGACCAGGGTCAGGTCTCGTGGCTCCAAGATGTCCCCTCTTCACTGTATGTGTCTTAGAGCTGCTGCATCCGTCTCCACCTCTTGTGAATTGAAACTTGTGATGTGGGCATCAGGGTGGTGTGGACTTGGATAGCCTTTCCAGTTTCTCTTCATAAGCTACCAAAGGAAAGTTGGCCAGAGCAAGAATGGGGCAGGACTCCTGCGGACAGCCAGGCTCTGGGTGACATGAGGGGAGGATCTGGAGTCACTTTGAGAGGCTTCTTCTTTGCCTCCTTGCCCGTAACCTTAAAGTCTTTCATTGCAAAGATGATTGCCTGAGGAACTAGTCCATGACTTTTCTCTTGACCAGCCTGAATCAGGTCTGAAAATGACAGACTCAGACAAGGAGACAAAGTAGGCAGACACCTCCCACAGGAAGCACAGCTGATGATCACGGCGGATAACCTTTAGAGATGGACAATCTGTTTTTTTCCACTATGAGGCTGAAGCAAACTAGCCATTTTATCAAAACTACAAGCAGTGTGTCAGGTTACCCAGTGGCAAAAAGCTGAAAGTTCCTGCCCAGCATAATCTATCCACATTTTTTATTTAGGTAATCGTGAGTTCTGCTGATGCCCAAATATTATTATAAAAGTAAAATGCATGCAAACTGTGTATTTTATAGGGTCGTATTTTTTCCCTGGGTTTCTCAGGCTTGCATGTATTCATCATTCAGGTCCTGCGTTTACAATTTATCAATCAGATCACTCTATAAAACACATTCTGATCCCTCACATCTGTGTATAATTTATTGTCTATTCCGGGCAGTAGAAATAATATTTTTATTTGCGTCATCTAAAAGAAACACCAATGTATAAATACATAAGAAAAGCTCATAAGAGACGGTCCTGTGACTGCGAATACTGCTGAGGGGATGTTGTAGCCAATTAAAAAGCTGAGAGATGGCTTCATTATCCATGTACATAGGTAATACATACTGGACACAGCAAATAGTGGTTACTCAACTTCTCAGACAGGTTGCACCACCTCCTACAAGGGCTGCCACAGTCTGCTTCTAAATTCTCCTTTGAATATTTGCAAATAAAGCCTCTTCAAGGGAAACATATTTGCCAAAAACGGCTCCTTTTGGATTAAGATAATGGAATATGTAGGTGAACTGGGAAATGTTTCACTGGTTGGAATATTTTGCCTTCAGGAAACTAAATAACTTTGCCTTTCTCAGCCACCAAGAGAGCCTTGGAAGAAACAGTCCAGAGGCTAGAGGTTGTTCATTACACTTGGTTTCTGCAGCCTCACCCTGATTATCTAATAGGAGGCCCCACCAACACCTCCCAAGCTTCCCCAAAGTCAAGGTGCGGAGTTACTGTCCCTCCTTCACCCCTCACTGCGGGAGCACGTGCAAACGGTTCAACTAGGAGACTTGGATTTCACACACCATCTCCTTCCTCCTCACACATACAGCTTCCCAAGGGAAGTCATTAAGTGCAAAGACTTTTCCTCCAGGTATCTGAGGCCTGGGTGAAAACCTTCCAGTCCTTTCGGTGGTGAGGCTGTAATACCCGTGTCAACCATTCCAACCTCCCCATTGCTGAGGCTGGGTTGGGGGTGATACAGGATTCTAGCTTTAGAACTCTTTCTCTGCCCAATTTCACAGACCCTTGGCAATGGGATTGATTTGTGATTACTCAGTTTAACAATTCACTTGTGTTGGAAACTCAGCACTGCCAGGAGTAGCATATAATTAAACTGGTTTATGTGGAGGATATGTTTAAATGCTCACGATCACTTTCTTGACAGTTTTAGCTGACTTTCCAAAGATTACAACGATGCCCCTGGTAACTCTCGGCATGGTGTGGTTTTCAGCAGGTGAAGAGAAAGTTCAGATGGATCTCCAGTGTTCACTCCATAATTGCCAGTACTTTAAAGCTGCCTGAATCCAATTCCAGTAATGTGACAGCTCTCTTATAAGTTCAGTTAATTGTACTCTGTAGCCTGCCTCTGCAGGAGCTGTATAACTGGATCAGAACTCACTTTGTTTCTGTGCATTCCAACATGTGAATCCCATGGGCTCTTGAGCAAGAGACCACCCAGGTCTTGGCAAAGCCTCGAGAACAGTGCCGTTGAAACCGGCCTATGCGCCCCTCACACATCTTGTGATTTCCCTCGGGCTCACCTCGCTCTGCCTCATTTTATGGAAAAGGAAAGCCTTGTGCTCCCTCTGCTGCTGTCTGTCCTCATGGCTGTATGTGCAGCTGGATGCTTCTGATCGTCAGCTCTCAGCTTATATGCTCCCCATCCCCAATAAAAAGAGGGGGTTTCTTGGCCTGTCCTTCAGAAGTATCATCCGCAGCCATTCTGCTGTCGCCCTGCTTTTCTTCTTAATTTTTAAACTTTGAAAGAATATTTGATTTACAGTAAGGTTGCAGTTTGGACGCGGGGTTGCTGTGGTGCTGCTGTTTCTTTCACAGCACTCGCTGCTCTCCGAAGTGCTCCTGTTTCATCGTTCCTCTCCCAGCACAAGAATGCAAGTCCTGAGGGAAGCTTTCTCCGTGTCCCTCTCTGAGATGCACAGGACCCAGAAAGCCAGGCCTTCTGGGATGAAGCTGTGTTCAAGAGATGAGGGTCTCAGCAGCATAGACAACAGGGAGCTGGCTCACTTTGGGGGTGCTGGCATAAAGAAGAAAGAATGGGCTTTTTGGATAGAAGGCATCAGGTCTAGAGTCACTGCCAAGAGTGCCTGTCACCAGGTAGACTTTGAATACTTGGTGAGTGAGTGAGTAAACATGTGAGACCCGGCTGGATTGCAGACCTGCAGCTGATGTGTGGTAGAGCTGGTGCTTCTGCAGGGTGCATCTTCCTCCAAAGCCTGCGCTCTCCTGCCTTTGAGCATGCAGAAGGCATGGGCTCAAGTGACAGGAAGAGGGAGACACACTTACTCAAGATCTCCACGTTGCCCATGGTTGCATCCCTGCAGCCAGGAGAAGGACTTCTGATGCTTTCCATTCAGAAAATCAACTCTTTTCACCTCCAGGCAGCCCTCCAAGGATGTCACAGATGTCACCATCAGAGCCAGCACCTCTGCTTGCCCTGCCAGATCCCTTCTCCCTTGAATGCAGGTTCATCCATGAAGATTCAGCCCATCCCCCACCTGGAGACCACATTCCCTGGGCCCACAGTCCCCTCCCTCCTTCCTTCCCTATGCGGCAGAGGCACACAGCTCAGCCCTCTCCCACTGGCTGTATTTTGGACTTTTAGTTCATTCCTGTACCTTGTCCCCTTGGTCCTTAACACCTGAGAGTTTTAAATGCTTTGCGACCAGCTTGAGAATTTCTCAAAGAGGTTGTGTCAGACAGTGAATACGTGAGTAGTAATCCTTTGGTAACCTGAATATAACTGCAGACTTCCACATTGAGCATGATAAAACGGTGTGGATTTAAAAGTATTTGGGGAACTGTAAAATGTCTAGGATTAAAATTTCAATACCATTTGTGCCCAATAAATGTGAACTCTTTAGTAACTTAAAACTGTGCTATTATGACTCAGGTCTGAAAATTATGAGTCCTGCTTGAAGAAATGGGAATAACATGTGAGGGAATCTGGTCCCATCCTTCACCTTGAGGGATATGCTGTGGTTGAACCAAATAGCAGGAGCATGACCTCATAGGAGAGAAAGCCCAAAGAAATTACCATATTTGTTGAGAAAGTGATACACCCTCCAGAAGAGAAAAATGTTATATTTTCCATTAGGATTGTTTATGGAAATGGGGCTAAATTGAACCTGTGTTGGTATATTAACTGGTTCAACAGACAGGACCCCAAGAAACAAGATCATATAATAGTTTATTGAATGACTTGATTTTTTTTAAAACATGAACCAGTCTAGTCGTCTGAACTGGAAAATTAATTTTGTCTATAGAATCACTTACTAAAGCATATAAAATTAGACTCCGTAAGTGCAGAGAGGAGAATTGGCATTGTGTTTCACAGATTCACTGGGATTTGAATAAATGGATTTAGTCTTAATACAGCGAAAGCCTTGAGACTTTTAATACAGAGCAGATCTTAAAGTATTAATTTATCATTTCAAAAAGCGACTTTTGCATTTGTGTTGCTTGCTGAAGGACTGAATTATATTTCTTGTCGATGATAATACTCTAGCATGTGTTATGGGTCTTGAAGGAACAAATTAATTAACTTTTGTTTTCTTTAAGTTACAAAATTTTAATGGTTAGATTGACAGAGAATTCAGCAGTTTTAACACTTACCATGATTTAATGGGTTATAGTGTTTCCCTGGGCTTATTTAACTTCCAAATATTTTCACTGTGTCATTGATGTAATAAGCTTCTGATGCCAAACTCTTACTGACTAGAGTGAAATATGGGACTGTTTTCCTTTTGATTCAGGGGTGAGCTTATGGGACCAGGGAGGAGCTTTCGAAGTTGTCAGTGCCTCTCTGCTGGATGGAGACCTCTGGATCCCAGCGGAGAGCTTCGACTTCAAGGTCAGTTCCTGTCCTTCTTTTCGCAGCTTTGAGACTGCCAAAACTTTTCAATCACATTAACTGCTTTGGTATTCTTTGATTCAAGTGTTGTCTCTACTCACATTAATGCTAACTGTATTGTTATAGAATGGAAGCTTTATTCTTAAGATAAAATGCAAACCAATTTGATTGACAGTGCTGATGAGGGATCGAACACGATTTGCAAATACCAAAAATTCATTTTTAACAAAAACCAGGGTTTACAATCCCAGATATACAACTTCCATGTTCAGTTTAACTGAATGATAGGTATTCTTCTATATTTATGTCTATTTAATTAACATTTTTCTTGAATTGATTATTGGTAGAAATATATTTATACAACTTAAAAACCCATTTGTCATGAGTTTTAATGCAGTCTAAACTTTGTTTACTATGACATGTTTGCTTTGAGCCTTTTATGATTAAAAGAATATGAAATGATTGAAATAATAGTGATTAAATTTAATGTTTTGTTGCATTTTATCTGATAAACTGACATGACTTCCTTAAATTTCAGTGCTTGTAGGGACAGTTGGAAAGTGAGAAAATCTATAGAAATATGAGCTCTTTGGAGAGATCACACAGATGCCTTGGTCCTTGTATTATATGGAACTATTTTTAGATCATTTTTCATAATAGAAAGCAGATTTTTTGAAGAGCAGTTGAGATTGTGAAAATCCTCTGTCACTTCCTGGAATGGTTGCAGTGGGCCACTTTAGGTGAGTAATGATAAGGTGATTTACATCTAGAGAGCTTACCTTGGAAACTGAGCTTTTAGAAAGGTTGATGGTTTGATTAAAAGACCCAAATGCCAAATGTGCACATTTTTCTAATGTTGTTTCATGGACATTGTTACAAACTGAATATACGAAGTACAAGTTAAGTATGGTGGTGGTGATGATATTCTCTGAAAGAAAAGCTTAACATATTGAAGAAAATTTTGTCATGTTATTGGTAAGCAAAATTAAAAACAACATGATAGATACAGAAAAAGAGGAGTGGGCTATTTGTTTTAAAGAAAGTTTATTTAAAATATTTGTAGACATGAATAATATAAAAATATGGAATAGTATAAAGTTTTTTGGATGGCGGGACTTTCCCTGGGGGTAGAGTTGCCAGATTTAGCAAGTTAGAAGAATGCCTGGTCAAATTTGGATTTCAAGGAAACAAGGTATTTAATTTTAGTGGAAATATGTCTCATGCAATATTTGGGACACACTGTTTTGTAAAAAAAAAAAAAGTATTTGTTGCTTATCCGAAACGCAGATGTAACCGGTTGTGCCCTATCTTTTGTCTGGTAACCTTCCCTGGAGGGAATTGTAGGGACAAGCTGCTGAGGGCTATGGGCCTGCCCCTGGGGTGGACCGGCTCAGGTCTTCTCTGGTTTTTGACTGCCAACTTTCTCCTTCCCACCCGCCAGCCACCTGGCAGCCATCACAAGGTGTGTTGGAGGGGGATTTGGCACATCTACTGGGGCCAAGCTTGACCTGATGATTGTGGGTCACGAGCATCATCGTTTAGAAAACTAGGAAAAACCATGATTATTAGGTAGCTGTCCCAACTCTTCTAGGTTTCTGCCTCAGGAATGAGAGCCATGTGGGTGATAGGCACTCAAAGAATTCCAGGTTAGTGACATTTTGTAAGGGCATGGGGACCTGGGTGAGGTGGGAACAGCATTTTGTTGTAATGCCAGTAGGCTCATCTCAACATGTAGCTTATAGCATCCGTATGTGACCATATTATTACAGTATGGACTCATATGTGGTGGGTAGCCCCAAAAGCTTGTGTGAGAAGGGGTACATGTGAATGTCTGTTATGTGTGTGTACCCGTTTGCAGGAGTTCCCCGTGGGGAGGACGTGTATACTTGCTGTGGGAATAGGCATTCTGGCCAAAAGTGTGTATGTGTGTATCTGTCCTCAGTGTCAATAAGTCAATATTTTCATTTTGAACTGCATCATGACGTGTATCTTCAGCATACAAGGCATACTCATGTTAAGAATATTGTTGCAGAACAGCGGCACCTGCTGTGCCTCAGAATACACACTTTTAGATTTGCTTCTCACTCCCTGCCTCTTTCTATTCGGCCAGTTTTTAACTGAGCACCTATTATTTTAACTGAGCACCTGCATGCAGCCAATGCAGAAGGCAGACATGCTTGCTGCCGCCTGCAGCTTACATTGCAGTAAGGGAAACACAAATACATTCAGGTTGTGGTAAGTGTTAAGAAAGAAACAACAAAGTATTCTAGGGGTCAGCAGGGGCGATGGATTTTGATAAGTTGGCCAGGAAAGCCCTTTCTAAGAAGGTAAGATAATGTTTTCACTAAGTTCTAAAGAGCCAGCCATGAGAAGAGCCAGTGTGTAAGAGGCTGGTGTCAGGGAGCAGGGAGGAGGCAGGCGTGTCTAGAGCATGGAAGATGAGACAGACCTGGGGTGATGCAGGAGCACCAGGGGCCAGGATTCCCGGCCGGGCTCCTCTGCGTGTGACCTTGCTGTGGAAGCAGCAGCCTGTACAAAACAGACATTCATCCTGAGATGATGACATAAACTGTGGCCTTCTTTCTCTGATAGTTAAATATTCTGATTTTATCTGACTTACCAAACCATAACATTAATTTTTTGTGACTATTTTTCCCCAGAGGTGACATGTAGTATTCACAACCATAAAGTGCATTCCTTATTTATACAGAAATGCCTAGCTCTTTTATTTCTTCTTATTGTTTATTTAATTTTGGGGGGGAGGCAGTTCCCCTTTGCTACCTAAGCTGGTCTCGAGCTCCTGGGCTCAAGCGATCCTCCTGTCTCAGTCTCCCAAAGTGCTGGGATTATAAGCCTGAGCCACTGTGCCCTGCCAGAAATGGCTAATTCTTAAACATTTTATCTGATGGCCATGACAAGTCCAGTAAGCCAGAGCTGGCAGTTTGGCCTGCAGTTTCTGGTTGGGAAGGCCACAGGAACCTAGAGAAAGGGGGCCTCAAATTACAAGTCACATCCTCTCTGGCTTTATTCCAGACCAATTTCCACAATTGTTTTCCTGAAATGAGTCTAACTCATCACAATTTTCCTTGAAGCCCTGAGAGATGTTCCTCACATCCACACCCTGGAGTGTGAAGACAAACTCTAGGCCTGGCATGAAAAGCACATTGCTCTGTGACCCAGAGGCACTAACCACCGCTCCACCCCATGGCCCCGACTCTGGCGTCCATGCTCTGACCGTGGATAGCATGAGAAGCGATTGGACTGGAGTTATATTTTGAAGGAAAAGTCCACTGGACTTGCCAGTGGATTCAAGGTGCTAAGGACAACCCCTGTGTTTTGGCCCTGGCTACATAGGTGGGAGGAGCTTCCATCATATACACCCCCAAAGAGAAAGGATCTCTGTCTAATTTGGTGTTCACCACATCATTGACTTACTATGTATACTGGATCTCAGCTTAGCTGCATTTTAGAGTCACCTGGAAACTTTTTATAAATAACAGTGTTCAACCTCCAGTTGTTGAGAGTTAGATTAAATGGTTTGGGGCAGACCCGCACAGATTTCTCTTTTTAAAAAATACTCCCTGGTGATTTTAGTGAGCACCCAAGGCTTAGATCCACTTGAGGAAATTGATGCTGCATCCAGTGCCAGAGTGCTGGTCAAGTCCATTCGGCTGATTTAGGCAAAATTACTGTCAGGTTCTCTCTCTTTCTCTCTGAATGCGATGTTAGAATGTCCTTTCCAGATCAAGAATCAAGTCATCGCTGCCAGTTTAGTGTAAAGAGCAGAGGAACAGAAAAGTGTGAGATCTTGTGTGTGTTGGAGAGCTGGCAGGTTTTTGGTTGCTGGTTGTTGTCTACACTATAGGGATAAGCTTATCTGTATTCCCTTCCTCTAAGGGTCACTGTAAGAATGAGATGAAACAATGGCCGTAAAATACGCTAGAAACTTAACACGACTACAGAAATGTAAGGTGACGCTAAAAGTTTAAAGTGTCTGTAGGAACCAAGCTCCAGTTTCACGTCTTGAAAAAATTAACTGCAGAACCAGGGAAGATGTGTCAAATGTGATTGATCATGAGGCGACCTCACCTGAGCTCAGCCTTTGAATGCTCCAGGAAATGTCCAATTTCCAGCTTTCTTGAGTGAGAATGAAGTTATAGAAATAGTATGCGAAATGGAAAATAGAAGGCAAACCAATTAGAACATGAAACTAAAGCGTCCCTAAGCATATGGCAGGCCTCAAATATCAAATAGCAACTAATTAAAAGGACAGAGGCACATTCTACTTCATACATTTCCATTTGCCCTTTTTTTTTACAGCCGAGAAAACTGAGCCCTGCTCTCGCTTCCAATAACCATCTCCGTATTTCCCTTCATAACCAGGTTTCCCGGAAAGGTGGTCTTCACTCACTCACTCACTTACCTCCCCCCCAGCTCCCTCCTAACCCTCAGTAGCAGCTCCTGTTCCCAACACTTCACTGGAACGGCCTTTGCCAGGCTCAGAGATGGCCTCCTAATTTCCAAAGCCAGCACGCACCTTTCACTCTTTAGCTTACTCATCTTGACCCCAATTCCTTCTTTTTCTTTGAATTCCTTCCTTCCTTTGGGCTCCTGAGACCGTGTTCTCTTGTTTCTTCTCATATGTTTTTGTTTTTTTCATTCCTTTTCCTGGCTCTGTCTCTCACTTCTCTGAGAAGCGGCCCCACTTCTGATGAAGGGTCCCGCTGGTGATGTCCCTCTCGTCTATGACCTCATGGTCTACTTGCACCTGGGGGCTCACGTGAGTGACAACGTGAGTGAGAGCTACCACATGTGGAGTTCCCGCTGTGTGAAGCGCTGTGTCAGGTCTTAGGAATGATAGCTTTGGTTTTGTCATCTTCATGCATTGACTTAAAATCCAAAGCTCTCATTCTGCTTTGACCTCTGAGATTGGATCCTCTACTTCCAATCGATTACAGGTACCTCCAGCCAAAAATTCCCAATTATGCAAATGTACTGTG